CGATGGCGGTGCCTGGCGACGTCGGGAGGTTGTGGCCGGCGATGAAGGGCGTCGTGGCCGGGAGGGGTGTGGAGGAGGAGGGGGCAAAGGCGACCTTGCTGCTGCTGCTGCCACCGCGATGGCTGTTGCTGGTGTTGCTGTTGTCGCCGGCGTGAGTGTCGTCGTCGTCGTTGGTGGTGTTGTTGGTGTGAGTGTTGGTGTTGTGGTGGGAGGTGGAAGAAATGGAAAAATACGAGGGCGAGGCGGCGCGGGAGGAGCCTTCTTCGGGGGAGTCGCGGTAGGTGTAGGTGTGCTGGTGAATCCCCGGCGTCACGGCGTCGGAAAGGGCGATGCTGCGCAGCACCGGGTTGGCGGGGTTGACGGGCGCTGGGTTCAGGCTGTTGAGCGTGTGCCGCAGCTGCTGGTCGCCCACTGCGGGCGAGTTTGCCGATGAGCCAGCTTCTTCTGGCTTTTGGTTTTGGCTGCTCATGATTCAGTTCAGTGGGTGCGGTGCGGTGCGGATGCGAATGGTTTGGGCTTAGCGGCCACTTGGGGAACCGGGCAGCAGCAGATTAAACAGGTTGCAGGGAAGAATAATAAAAAGAGGGGATACAGTATGATGGTAAGGTAAGGTAGTAAGAGATGTAAGGCAAGGTAGAGAAAACAAAGATCAACGACGATGGAGTGAAGCTATCCCCGTGCACACCAACTTGCGTTGTTGATCAAGACACGCAACAGACTGAAAATGGGAGAAGCCAGGGTAAAATGAAATGGATGTTCTCGAGATTCAACTGAAAACACACGACAACTGCAGCAGCCGAGCCGAGCGAACCAGCTGCACACGCCCCGACTCTTGACAAGAGACACAGACAGACGGTGAGCAGAGAGACAAGACACAGAGTCCGGGGACCTGGACCTGGACCTGAAGCCGTATCGGAATAGGCAGTCCAGGCGACGACGGTGACGGTGAGCGATGTGGGAGACGGGGGGGGTTGGCGCCAGGGGTGGTGAAGAGACAGACAGTCGGGGGGATAATGTTTTTGCTGTTGTCTTGCTGTTGCTTTTGTGTTTCTGTTGACAGAACAAGCAAGAGAACAACAACAGAGAGAGAGACAGAGACAGGGACTGCGGACTCTCAAAAGGTCTATCCGTCTCTGATCCTGACCCTGCTGCGCGCGTCGCCGAGCCGTGACACGATGCTGATGTCGATGCTGATTATCTCGTGAATGTATCTTGCCCCGTATCCCCCGCCACAGGGTACTTTGCAACCTGGCCCCCCTCTTCTTCAGGACGAATTGCTCCTATCCTGACCCCCAATGCCCCCAATCCTGGCCCGGGCCAGAACTCCAGAGACCCAGATGAGGGACTGACAAGCCCAGCGAGTCCACAACTGCGTGGGACGAGCTTGGTGATTGGCTGCCGTCGCGGTGGTGTATTGCTTGGTAGTTGCTTGTACACCGCACCTCAGGGATATCGTCTGCTGCTGCCGTCTGTCGTCTTTTGTCTTTCTGTCTTTCGGTCTGGAGATGTCGAAGAGAGGTTGGAACGAGGACAGATTCTCTTTTCTCGAGTTGTCTTCCCCAACCCCGACTACTTCCTTCGTCTCTACCCCTCTCTTCTCTAGCTCCGTGTCTCGGAGATGGCTGTCGACAGACCGACACTCTGTACCACAGCTAGACAGCAGCCACGATGCTCAACCAAGCACGCCTCCAGCTTCAGGGCACTGACGGCGGCACAGCAGACTGACAGCGGCAGCCAGGCCAGACCAGACCAGACCACTGCTATTTCGGTGGTGGTGTGGAGGGGAAGCTGCTGGAACGCGCGAGAGGTGGTGGCATGAGTATCGTCGAGGTAGCTGGTCCGCGCTCGGGAGGTATTCTCGGTGTATCTGGCCTCCTGCTTTTGCATGTGGCGATACATATGACGCAGTACCGCCCACTCCTCGAGCTACTCGCCCAAAACTTGGCAGAAGCACCCCAAAAGGGCTCCCCCCCTGGTTCGGACGGGACGAATTCACAGCACCCGGATTGGCTCGTCTTGGGGGCGTCCCCTGTTCGCTGGCTGTCAAAGCTGGGTCAAGCTGGGTCGAGCTGGACCTCAGACCGCGCTGTTCCTGGACTGCTGCGCCGGAGGTAGAGCACCAGTCCTGCGTGCTGCACCGCTGAGCGACATGCTGCCGGGTTGATGCCTCTGCTTGCCGTTGTCTGTGTGCCCCGATGATGTCTTTGTGATGCAACCAAATACCGCAACAGAGAAAAAAAAAAAAAATACCAAAATCTCTCAAAAATGGCCGAGAGCTCTCTGCTGTGCGTGCTTTTTCTCAACCCGCATCATTCTGCATCTTCTCCTGAAAACAGGGGACAGCCGAGGGGGGGAATGCTGGGGACTGAGTACGTAAAGCAAAAACCAGGGGGACTGACGGGATACCCAAAGAGACAAACAGTGAAGTCTTCGTAATCCCCTTTGCGCTCCCAGCCGAGTGGTTGAACCATTGGCACCGGCGGCAGGCTTTCACTAACAGCGTCTAGAACGCACAACACACCGGATGCACTTGCCCCAAAAGTGAGCTGAGACGGCCACAGGCCAAGACGAGTAAGACTACTCAACTCACATGTGCCGTGTTGGCTGTGTTGGCTGTGTTGGCCGTGGTGGTGAGCTGAGCGGAAAGTGTCCGCCAAACTGAAGCCATTGCCGCCACCGTCTGATAGTCTCTCTGCCTCTGCTTCTACCTCTGAGAGTGAAGAGGAGCCATGCAGAAACGAAAGACCGGCCATCCCCGACGGCATTCGTTCAAGAAAACAAAAGAGCCGCAAACTTGACGCAGAAACAATCAACCAGAGGGAAAACTCAGACCCACCTGACGTAATTCGAGGTAATTTCCTCCCCCTTTTTATTATTTCTCTGAATTCGATGGTCCACTGCTCTGGGCAGCCTCTCGAGATACCGCGTGGCAGTGATAGAGCAGCAGTTGGATGAGTAAGAGTGAGGCTCTCGCAACCCTCCTGGATCGGCCGTCGTTCGTGGCGCTGTCCGTCGGCCTATCGTCGATGTCGCCGCGCTGAAAAGACGGTGAGCGCGAACAACGGTCCTAATTAGTGGTCCCTCCAAGAGGGCCCTGTTGGTGTCGTCTGCTGCAATACGACTGCGCAAGCTGCTTCACTCGTAAACTCGTAAGAACGAATGCTTTTCCCGGTCACGTCTATCGCTGTCAGGCCACGTCGGGTGCGACCAGATCAAGTGATGCCCACGGGGAAAGCCAAAAGATCAGTCCAGAAAAGAATGGGAACCCAAGATCTCTTCTCTCCAATCTGGGGGATCAGAGCGAGGATTGCGGATGGGTTCCACCGCTCTTTTTAACATTGACCGGCTGACTGGATGTGACTTGGCCGCTGTTTACTTGACTTTGGTGGGTGGTGACTGGCCCTTTTCTCATTCTCATTCCATGCATGGGACGACGCAGACAGACTAGGCCGGCGTGGTTCTCGACCAACACCGCTGCATCGCGCACCCTGAACGAAGGGACAGCCCAGGATGCAACTCCGTGTACGGCGCTGTAACCTCGGCCATGGATTGCTCTTTGCCCGCTCACCAGCACCATCCGTGATCCGACGGCACCGTTCTGCGGCTTCATTCGATAAGCTACACCATTGAGACATGCTGGGCGATGGCGTGAACCTTGTATTGTCCCCCGTGTCTCCAACCCACGCTGGCAGTGGTGTTGTCCGTCCATCCCATCGGGATCAGGAATGCGATCGCCAGCTCTCTCTTCACTGAACTTTGCGGTCCCCTTCTTGATGTCTGTTCCATGCCAAAGGTTGGCGTACCAACAACGAGATATTCCCCTCATCTAATTACACCCGACCACCACATCGTCATCGGCTCGACCTCTCACTGGCTTGTCGCAGCTGTCATGCCTCATCAAACCGATACTTAATCGACGAGAATCGGTGACCCAAACCATCTTCTTCTCATGCATGTGTACCTGCGGACAAGGACACTTACGTGATGCCCTGCATATTATCAGTTAGTCTCTCAATCACTGAGCCGTGTCTATCCTATCCGTCCAACCTTGGCAGCAGCAGCATCATCCTCGCCCAGCAAATCTCATCAGCCCATCACCGCATGCCCGTCTTCAGCGCCTCCGTCAATGACGCCGCTATACCAAAAGGTACCATCTCGGCCGTTCCCTTGCCTTCATCCACGCAGCCCAACTGCCACAACCACCATCACATCAGCCTGAACGGCGTGCCCTTCCAACTGAGCCATTTTCGCCTACATTGCACTTTCCGTATTTCCTCCCCTACATCGCCCGACGTGAAAATGCACCTCGTCTGATCTCGATGGCCCAATCTCCCAGACGCACAATGGACGAATCCCCCGCCGTCCGCTGAAGCACATGGCGCCAATCCCGCGTCTTCAGTGGCTGCTGCCCGACGCTGCACCAGGCAAGACGGCCACGTTTTCTCCCCCATGCGCTCGCGCTGCTGCTCTGCCGCTGCCGCTGCCGCTCCCGCCATTGGGCTGCGGCCGGATTTGCGTGCATATTTGCGCATGTCAGCTTTCAACTTTGCCATCTGGCTTTCTCTGGGTGCAATTGAGTTCTTCTCGGCTCGTCGCGCCGACGACGCAAGCCACCACGACGGGACAAAGCGGACAAAGGACGTATGATGGCTGCGAGTCAACGCGGATGCAGAGCCCCCATCTAGACTTTGGTTTCCTCGCGAATCTGGCCCATGTGTATTGTTTCGAAACATACCTATCTAGGCCACAGCGAGTCGTTGGCGCAAGTCATCTAGATTGCGCGGCTTCGAGACAGCCGTTGACTGCGTTGCATATGAATTGACAATTGATTGCACATACGTCTAGGAGGGTTCTTCAGCAGTTCCCTCTCGGTGTGAGCTCAGTCACCAAGATTTGTGAAAGCACGTGTGGAAAACACTCCCGTGCACAGTCTCATTCAGCAGGGAATTCAGTTTACGTTGATTGAATCGTCGAATAGGTAAAGCTATGTCTTCCCAGACCTATGCCACTTCCACGTGCTCAGCATTCTTCTTGTCAAGCACACCCTCATCCGCCGCATCTTCTCTCGAACTCAGCCGCGGCCCCTTTCTAAACAAGAGCTTGTCCCTGAGCGAGTCCTTCTCGAACAGCTCGTCCATCTGCTCCAGCGCAACACCAGCCGTCTCGGGGACGAAGAAGAATGCAAAGACCACCATGATGAAGCAGAAGGTGCCGTAGACAAAGTACGTGCCGAATCCATTGGTCCCCAGAGTGGCAAACATGCTCGGCGTCGCTTTCGCTACGACGAAGTTGAAGAGCCACTGGCTCGCCGTGGCCATGCCCATCATCAGGGCTCGGAGGCGGGCGGGAGGGATCTCGGAGGAGTAGGTCCAGACGACGGGTCCCCAGCCGAACTGGAGAAGGTTAGTTTCTGTCATGACTTGGAAAGGCAAGGAGATGGTCTCGAGAGGGAAGCCATTGCGTGTACATGTTGCTGAACGCTTGGCAGCTTCCGTCATGACATAAAGAGGAGGAGAAAACTGAGGCTAGGCGTAACTTACTTGATAAACCTAGAAGATTGTCAGCACTTCAACTCCAATAATCATTTGCCATGATGACCATGACTTACTGCTGCAAAGATGTAGATGGCAACGAGTGCAACGTATCCCGGCGCGCTCACAGAATCCCCCGTCACCGGGGGATCGAAGCGGATGTAAAACCCAACGTAGAATAGTGCCAGGCCCTACAGCAGATAGAGTCAGCCTCATAACCTGGTCAAAGTCTCACCATGAACTCACCTGAACGATTCCCGTCCACAGCAGACTCTTCCTCCTGCCAAGGGTATCCGTCACAAAGACAATGAAGATGGCGCACGAGACCATCTTGACGATACCGTACACGCCCGTCGCAAAAAGCCCAGAAGCAGACCCGGACAACCCAACGCTGGCAAAAATTCGCGGGCTGTAGTACGTCATGGCATTCGTCCCAGTAAGATTGGACCACATCATCAGCGTGATGCAGAGAAGACTCCTCCTGCGGTACGATTTGATCGTGAAAGCTTCCCTCAACAGCGAGAACGACGACGCGTTCACCGCCAGGGCGCGCTCCTCCTCCAGTTGTCTCGAGATGCCGTCCATCTCTTGTACGATGTAGGGGTGGTCCGCGGGCAGGTTGCGCAGCTTGGCGAGGACGGCGAGGGCTTTGTCGGGGTGGCGCTGGGCGAGGAAGCGGGGTGACTCGTTTGCGAGGAGCATGCCCACGAGGAGGATGACGGCGGGGAAGGCTTGTAGGGAGAGGGGGATGATGTACTGGCTATGACCCTTGATGTGGAGGAGAGAGCCATAGTTGATCCAGAAAGCTAGCTATCACGCCATGTAAGTACTTGAAGAACGCAAAGCATCCGAGGAAGCTTACCGTCAGACCAGTCACAATACTCAGCTGGTAAAGACCCGTGAGAAGACCTCGAATGCCACGAGGCGCATTCTCCGAGACGTAGAGCGGGTTGACTGAAGATGCGATACCAATGGCCACACCAGCAACGAGCCTGCCAACGTACATGGCCTCAATATGTCCACTAGCAGCTGCCTGCAACGCAACGCCAATAAAGACTAGGATAGAGGCGATGATGAGGGAAAATCGACGGCCAACCCGGTTTGCCAGCCACATCGAGAGCAAAGCCCCGGCGAAGGCACCAGCTTGGATGACTGACACAACGTTTCCCTCTAGACTGGCGAGGACAGCTTTCGGTTGGTCCATCAGTCCGTATTCCCTGCACGAAAAATTCGTCAGCAGTCTCGCCTTGTGAAGGTATGACAACTCACTTCTTGAATGAGTCCATCGTCAAGACGCCCCCGATGATGCCCATGTCCATACCAAAGAGCAATGCTCCGCCGCAGGCCTGTCGAAGTTGTTACTTTCAGTGCTATTTTGTCTCTATGACGCTCAGAGCAACCTACCACCAGACTGATGAGCACAACTCGGGCATTGTAGATCTCGGGAGGGTCCGACTTGGTCGCCTCATTGCGAACAATCTTCTGCAACAAGCCCATCGCAACTACTACGTCAAAAGCTCGACGAAATCGGATTCAAAAAAAGGCAACCTGTCGAGTTTGGAAAAGACAACCTCGATGCTGATGAAACCCAATGGTTTTGACATCCGGATAGACTAAATAGGTAAATCGAAGGGCTGACATATCTCTTCACCCACATCATCAACTCCTCCAACGGTAATAGACGGCCAGCCAAGCCACAGGCCTCGGGGCTCGATCAGAACCGGCGTCTCCCCTGCACCCCGCAAGCTACCCCAGCCTGTCGACCCCACAACCCCAAATCCGGGGTATGGGGGACGACAGGCAAGCCGGAGACCTGTCGGCATGAGGATACCGAGTCAGACATTGGTTGGACTCTTGGGGTGAGTTAGCGTCGGCTATAGATGGATGGTGGCGTATCGCACGCGGACTGAAGGATGGGTGTTACTTGGCGTCTGCGTTGACGGCAGCTCTCGCCTGTCACCCCTGGGTATGGAGTGCTATGTGTACCGTTGTAGCACCGCGTTGCTGAAGTCGCATGCTTCCATGTCACTATCCTGGTATCTGCCGTGCTTGAGGCTCGCGGTGTTTGGTTTTCCCACAAATGAGATGCTTTGGATTAGTTCTTTCATCATGAAGATTACCAATCTGTCGGGCCTTGTTAGCGTTCGGAACTGTCTGCTCTCCATCACCAGTGACGTTGATGCCAAGCTGACTTGGCGGGAAGAATATGGGCGAGTCTTCGGGGTCACCTGTATCGCAGATCGGCCGAGGTTTGGTAGTTGGAGCATTTCGTGAAAGAACCGAGAACTACAGAGATACCGCACCAGCTTGGAACGAGAGCGTAGTCTGATACGTATCAAGGCCCCTGTTGGAGGGTATCGTACCATCTGCTTGGTACACGAGTTCTGTATTTCAATATTCAAGACAGCCTGATCATTCTATCTATGTCTCGGCGGATGAAAACACATCTAGGCAGTAGCTAAGGTAAGGCAGAAGCTTCATAGGCTCTCCAATAGTCTCATGCACTTTTGGAACATGGTGGAAAGGTTACCTCCTTCATTCTGTTTTGTACCATCATTTTACTTTACATAGGTACATGCCAACAGTCTTCTAATATCACAATTTCCATAGAACACCGCTAAAACCCTTTCCAAGTCGTCCTTTACAGCCCGTCAAGGGGCTTGTAAACTTTCATCCACCGCTGTGATCTTGGTTAGCCCACTTGGTTTGAATATAGGGATTGTGTCACCTACTCTATCATACGGCTTCTCGGGGTCGACGAATCGGAGATCCGTAGCCAAACGGATTCTCGCGTCGGGGTCTTTATTTTTGCAGCTGGCGTGGACCATGTACGGGTTGTGGAAGATGACGTCGCCGACCTCGTATTCCGCGATCAACCATTTCCTCTGAGTCTCCTTGCCGTATGTCACTGTATCTCGGCTGAGAAAGCCGCCGTCGTTCATGTTCTTGTTAAACGCGCTGACACGCTCCTCGTCAGTCAGGTTATGCGCGTTCTTTGCAAAGTCGTCCTCGGTTTTCATGCCAATATCAGTGGATCCTTCGAGGTACATCAAACCGCCACCCTCGAGCGACACCGGCCCGATGGGTACCCAAGCGGTCAGACTGGTTGGAGGACCAGCGCGGAGATACATTTGGTCGAAGTGGACTGGTGTGAGCTCGCTGTCGGGAACAAAAGCTCGAAGCATGGTGCGTTGAAGCATATGGGGAGACTGCCAGTCGGTGAAACGGCTGACGAACTGGCGCAGCTCGGGGAACTTGCAAAAGTTGACGTAAAAGTCGGCCTCGTGCGCTGAAACCATAAGCTCGGCGTACTTGTCGCTTTCCGGGTCATCTTTGAGGCCGAACAGACGGCGAAGGTTACCGGGAGGAAGGTATTTTTTGGTGTCTTTGCCTGAGAATGTGCCTTCGACGGGGTCGGTGCCGGGACGGAGGAGACCGCTGGGGCTCATGTGTGAGAAGTATTCGCGACGGCACTTCAGGACCGGCTCGTGGGGGAGAAGATCTTTGATCTGTTGTTCCCTATGTCAGAAATCTTTCGGGTATTCATATATATTTCAATTGCTGTAAAAGGACATACGAGCAGATATCCATCGCGCTCGAAGCGCTCCCGCATCACGTTGAGGGGGGTATCACGGTGGGTAGGCTGGAGGTATCCGATCGAAGCGGGATCCATGGGCCCAAAGTTTGACTCTAGACTCAGGGTCTTAGGATCGGCCGGGAAGTAGTTGCCGTAGATGTCGTTGTTAGGGTCGTACGCTTCACGGTGGTCAAGCTGTTTGACCTTCTGCGTTGGCAGTGAAGCTGGGGCTTCGGACTGGAGCACTCCGGGCGCCATGATGCTTACTTAGGTATGTATAAAGGAGATGAAATGAAATGCAAATTTTGTTGCCTTTGGATGTGATTAAAGGCTTCTGGAACCGCAACTACGAGTTGAATAATACGGATCACTGTGGTTGACTACCGTCCCGCTTTATATCGTCCCGTTCGGCTTTTCTGATGCAGTAAACCAAGAACTTATTGCCACAAGTCATGAAGATGTTAAACCAAACGAACCCATTCTACCCAATGACGTTCTTCCCATAAAGCCTGACTGTTCGACAGCCAGGTCGAACATCCTCGGCCGTCTGCTGCCGTACCCCGCGTCGACCCCGCCGTCTTTAGTCGTCTATAGCCGGCGCTCGGCCATCTATAACCGTCACCAGACCCCGCATCGGTCGTACGAGCGGCCCCAGGTTCTCACGCTCACCACCCCGTATTTTCCCCGGACCGAAACCTTGAACATGACCAAAGCGACCGGTGTAAGACAATACCGAGCATGTGTTAGGTGTCGCGCGCGCAAGACGCGTTGTGATTTGTGGGTCCCTCCGCCTTCCGGCCGATCGATTTCTCCAGCAAGGATGATATCTCTCTGGTTGCGATTCACAAGGCGTCCTACCGAAGATTTTGGTTGTTGACTAGCGTTACAGAGACAGTATTGGCGAACGAGGAAGACCGCCTTGCGCAAAATGTGTCCGCGAAGGAGTCGACTGCTCCCTAGCTGGGTCGCGACGTGGCGGCGACTACTCCCAGTACAGAGGCAACAAGAGGCAAAGACGCGATAGTGACGTTGCTACGGCGCCCTCGGTGGTTTCCGTAGCATCTTTTGTCCCAGAAACAATAGTGGAGACGCCAAAACCTCGAGAACAACCACTGCATCGATCCCTCCAGAATCCTTCTGATGCCCTGCTGATCCTTGCCCGAGCGGCGGAGGATGGGGATGATGATGAGCCAGGAGACGCTGGACTTAACAAATCAACTCCTGGAAACGCATCTTCTATCTTAGACTCGATTCTATCTCCGGGACAGCAAGCTCGGACTGACCAGCTCTCGTCATTAGCATCGCCCGGAAACCAGCTTACGGCGCACCAAGCGGTTGAAGAATACCCTCCCGTCAAGGAAGGCGCCTTAGATTTAGTCACGCTTCAAAATCTAATACGGCAGTAAGTCTGCATGTCTACCGCAAGAGACTGGAACGCTCACAGAAACAAGCTATGCCGATAATTATCACCCATTCTTCCCGATCGTCCCCGCCAATGTGCTCATGCCACAGTTCCTCCCCGATACCATCAAGCACGAATCGTTTCTTCTCACAGCCGCTCTAGTAGTAGCTTCAAGAGATCAGTCCGACCTGACCGAGCTACATCAGTCAATATGGCAACACATGCGACGCCTTATCCTCGATGTCGTTCTGGGTATGTCCACGATACGCAGCGTAGGATGTGTGGAGGGGCTCCTCATCCTAGGAGAATGGACACCGCTTACCCTGGGACAAAACGATGACGGGGGAGAAGGTGCAGCATGGTCAATATTAGGGCTCGCCGTCAGGCTTGCGTACTTGCTGCGACTTGAAGATTCCTCTTTCAGGGCAGACAAAGAAGCTGACCCAGCAATGTTGAGAAGACGGCTGGCTTGGACATGTTAGTTACAGCTACTTCTCCTCGAAGGCTTTGAGAATTTTCTATACTGACTTTGATACAAGTTACGTACTTATCCGACCGCCAGATCTCTATCCGCATGGGCCAAGCTTTCTGGAGCAGAGGACCGGCGCTTTCTGCGCGATTCACAGCCGACGACTTTCCATCCCTACAGCCACAGTACACTTCAGGGGAAGATTTTGCATCTTTGCTACAGGCACAGGTTGAGTTGACAACGTTATTCGGGAACGCCCACGATATTCTCTTTGCATCAAAACAACGTACCGGAGAACTCATGACCCGGGGTGATTACACCAAGTACATCGATGATGCAAGCCGCGCCATTGTCGCGTGGGATCTCGTTTGGAACGGACTCACATGCTCCCAGCATCTGAAGTCATGTCTCAAGATGATGGAGAAGTACCTTCGTCTTTACGTCAATGCTTTCGCCTTTCAAGCTGTTCTCTATCGGGCATCGACATCCGGCACGCAAGAAGTCTCAAAGTCGGCATGCTTCCCACACTCAGCTATGGCTAGCCCTGACGCTCGTCATGTTTATGAGGCTGTAGACGCTGCCGAGGCTCTATTGAGGATTGCCATTGAAGACATTGATGCCGAGAAATATCTGCGGTACATGCCCGCTCGGTTCTACTTGTGAGTGTCCGATCTTTTGCTTGCTTGGAGACCAGAGCCACCACTAACAGCGTCAATCAGATACGAAATACATTCGTCTGTATTCCTTTATAAAGCACACGCATCTGGCGCCGTCTCATCAGGAAAACATGCCCAGACAGCAAACCTGATGCGACGATTCATCGGAGTACTCGAGATCGCAGCCACTGACGCAGATCACATCGCCGCAAAATACGCCAAGCTACTCAACGGTCTCTGGTTCCATCGGTCGGATTCATCTGCAGATGCAACAAGGAAGCGGAATTCCGGTAGCAATGTCCATTCAGATGAGTTCCAAGAAGTCAACGCTGTGCAGACTTATTCAAATGAAGTCGACGACGCGGACTCGAACCATCTGCCATCGTTCGACGAGATTGGACTACAGCCTTTAGACTGGATCGAGTCTGTTGAAGGGCTTTTCTCCATGCCGGCTGCTTTCCCTTGGGATCAGCCAATCTTTTGATATTTCTGTGTAAGCGGCTGCGAGTGAGACCTGGTTGGGTAAGGTGGCGCCCAAGGGCATGTCAGCACTTGGCCTATTACGTTTTCCAAGCTGATCAAGTTCCTACATCCTGCATAGTATTCGATGGTCGTGATTGGTCACCTCGCACCTGAAAAGGGACATCTATCGTCAAAATTCTTGCGCTCTTTGAGGGACTTTGGTAGACTTTCGCGGACCAGGGTTGAAAATAGCACTTTTTGGGTCTGATATCGCCGGTGAATGGAAAACGGCCCATCTAGATGGAGCGAAGTAAAAAAAAAAAAAAAGTCTTGTTCATCGGGAAGACTTGGACGATGCACGTTGTCATACCAAGCAAGCGTATGCACGTGAAGTTCATCGCCAGTATCAACAATCATAAGCCAAAATAGCAAGACATGGAGGCACAATGCAATTTAGTTGGGTTAGTTGGGTTTGGGGAATGTGGCGTGATGTCTCCATCCAGTCAGGGTAGCTTGGTAGTTGGCGCAACGCGCCAATGGGGCATGCCGTGGTTGTGAGACACACTGCATGTGACGGATCTCACCCCCTCCCTTTCTTTCTTGCCATTTATCCTTAATGGAAGAGTTCTAATCGGATCTCAACTTCAATTGTAATACTTTCCAATGGACGACGGTAATGCATCGGAAGTCAGATCACCAGCGGGCCTGCCACACGTGTTCTACTCGAACGCCACGATCTTCCATCTCAGCTGGCTGATACTGCCCTTGATTAGCATCCTGTTCGTCAGCAGGATATTTCGAAAGAAAGCAGCTGAGCCTCCTTCTTTACCAGAGCGCATACCCTATGTTTCCAATACGTATCAGTACCTGACAGACAACCATGGGTTCCTGAAGAGAGCGGCGGAGGCATTAAAGAAGAGCAACATTGTCAAGTTCAACCTAGGTCCAGTCCCAGTGTATCTGGTTTCTGGCTCTCAAAATGTCCAAAGGCTCTTCCGGAACAGCACTGGCAGCACTCAACTCAGCTCGGACAAGTTCGTTCTCATGGTCACAGAAAAGGTTCATGGAGTTGACCAACAAGATGCTAAACGATGGGCCAGCGACAAGACAGGCCGTTTGAAGATCCCCGCTCCCGGGACCGAGGATACTCCGGAGGACCAAAGGATATGGAGCGGCATGCATCATATCTTCACGGAGCACCTGTCTCGTGCTGAGCCGACAGCGAAACTGGCGCAGAACTTCACGGCCTTCTTTGGAGAAAAACTAGGAAAACAGCCGCTGAATGAGTGGAAAGAAGTGTGCCTCTTCCAGTTCTTGAAGAAGGACATGGCTGAGGCTGCTATCATGACCCTGGCGGGAAGGCGACTTATTGACAAATACCCGGAATTCGTCGACGCCATGTGGGAGTACGACAAGGTAGCAATGAAGCTGATGTACGGGTTGCCGACATGGATGAATCCTGGACCCAGAAAAGCGCAGAAAAAGGCATTAGATATGATGGAGGCATTCTTACAGGACGCATGGGATACTTTCGATTGGGATGGAATGGAAGCGGCGGCCGACTGGGAACCGACATTCGGATCCAGACTTCAGAGAGAACATGCCAAGTTCTGGAAGGAAAGGAAGTTCTCTATGAAGTCTCGTGCTGCGCAACATCTAGGCATTCAATCTGGGTGAGCAACACGTGTGTGCGAAGTCTACACCCCGTGCTGACTACAACCAGATTCAACGTCAACAGTATCCCCCAGACGGCTTGGGTAGTGATGGAGCTCGCGAAGAACCCGTCTCTGTGGAGGGCAGTGAAAGAGGAAGTGCAAGGAGCAATTCATCCCGACCCTGTTACGTCGAAGCCTGCGATTGATGTTACGAAGCTTTTGGCCCTGCCTTTGCTCCAGTCTGTCTACGCAGAGACTCTTCGTCTGCATGTGTCGATCAATGTGACCAGAGAGGTTATGGAACCCCTTGAATGGGATGGATACGTTCTACCGAAAGGATCTCTGGTCCAAGCCCCGACACAAATTGGCTTGCAAGATGAGTCCGTGTGGGGAGTAGAGGATCATCCAGCATCAAGTTTCTGGGCAGAAAGACATATCAAATATGTTGATAAGGAGGATGAGCTTGGGAATGTCAACATGGCGATGGAATTCTCCATGGCTGGCAGGCCTAGCGACTACTTTCCATACGGTAAGCATCGCTACCCATGTTAGTTCTGCGACGACTGACATACGACATAGGTGGCGGCGTCTCAATGTGCCCGGGTCGGTTCTTCGCAAAGCAAGAGATCATGTTAGTCGCTGCTATGATCGTCTCCAGCTTTGAGATTGAGTTTATCGAATGGGTGACTTTTGATGGTGTCAGTTCGGACCGGCCAGCGGAAGACGAAAAGTCGGCAATTGGGTCAGGTGCTGTGTCACCCGATAGAGACATGAAGGTGCGCTGGAGAAGGACCCAATAGTCTCTGCAAGACTCGAGTCGTATAGATGCACAGCTCGTTCTTGATTACATGTCAGCCTGAACAGCGCATAGTTGAGAAGTTACTCGGATCATAACGGTTATTGTTAAGTTCAATGTGGACTGGTTCCATTATGTCATGCTCATTATGACTATCTAGAAGTACATGATGGTATACAAAACACGCTATTCATAAACCCAAACACTCTCATTAGTTCATGCGGTACACGGCATCCTTCTTGAAGTAGCGGCTGATATCATTGTCATTGCCGCAGTGAGAGCACGTGTGCATGACCTTGGCACCTTCGTGGCCTGGGCCGTAATGGTCAGGACCCATACCGGAGGGAATAGAGGATTGAAGCGAACCTTGGTTGAATGGGGGAGAACCATTGCGTCCACCGACGATGCCCTTATCAGCACCAACTCCGTGAGTGGTAGGAGACTCGTTGTAAGGGTCCAGCATGCTGGTTCTAGGCACACCAGGCTCGTTGCCGGTAAGTCCGGAACTGGAAGTGCGGGAGTAGTCGTCAACGCCACCCCGGGTGGTGTTGGCACCGTAGCCCGACTCGCGGATATCGTCGTGGTGATGTCTGCGAGAAGCCTCGGTGGCAGCGGCACCAAGGCCGGCTCCAGCAACACCGCCGGCAATACCGTGACCAGAGCGCTCGTAGCCCATATCTCTGTCTCTCATTCTAGTGTCGTAGGGGTCATTGCTGTGAGCCCCGATGAGGGAAGGGTTGGTATGCGTTGCGTGCTGGGTCTGGGCGCCAGGACCCGTGTTGCCGGCGTGACCGGTGTGAGTGAAGTGAGAACCCTCAATAGAGCGGTCCACGTTGGAGGTGGGATCGTGGTGACCAGCAGGAACGTTGGGGTTGTAGACGCCTCCGCCAACAGCCTCGGGACCCTGGCCTCTAAGGCGATCGTTGGCGCCGTACTGCTCGTTGGGACGGAGGGGGAGATCCTTGTTGGCGCCGTAGGGAGCTCCACGGTGATCACGGTCGGAGTCAACGCGAGGGTCAACAGCGTTGGCAACGCGTCCAGAGTGAGGGCCGTGAGTTCCCTCGGGATCGTCGTAGCCCGTGCGAACGTTCGAGTTGTTCAAGCCAGAGGTACCGTGAGTACCGTGGGTACCATGAGTGGTACCAGTTAGACCAGTGCCAGGCGCACCACGGTGGTCACGGTCAGAGTCAACACGAGGATCAGCGAGGTTGCCGGTGTGGGTGTTGTGGGGTCCATGAGTTCCGGAAGGGTCGTCGTAGCCGGTACGAACGTTGGAGTTGTGAACGTTAGATCCGGTCAGACCGGTGCCGGGAGCACCGCGGTGGTCGCGGTCAGAGTCGACACGGGGGTCGGCGAGGTTCTCGGCACGGTTGCCGTGAGGGCCGTGGGTGCCGGCGGGATCATTGTAGCCTGCACGAGCGTTAGAGCCAGTCAGGCCAGAAGAATCCGCACTACCGATCACACCATGGCTCTCACGGCCCATGGAGCCCCAGTACGGGTTCTGCGTGTCTTGCTCACCGGTGCGGTTGTGTCCGTGACCAACATCGATGCCGGAGTCGGTAGTGCGGTGGGTCTTGCCGGTGATGTCGCCGGTAGCTCCGCCGTGGGTGTTGCCCGTCAGGTTGCTGGTCGGGCTGTGACGTCCGGTGCCCGTGGTGGTGGTAGTGTCCTTTCCGGTCAGGCCCGAAGTACCAGTGGTGCCGGTCGTGTTGCCGGTCGTGGTATAATCACGGCCGTCTGTCAGGTTTGTGTGCTTGGTGTTTGTGGTGTCGGAGGGAAAGCTCCCGGGAGGCTTGTCGTTCTCGTATGTGGAAGACTTTGGGGGGCTATCATGATGCAGCGCCTCCTTGATCTTCTGTCCGATACCCATGATTGCTGATTATAGTACTTGAAGTTGTTTAATGTCTTTGAATCTGTTGTTCCAATTTCCAGGAATCTTAGCTTTGGCTGCGGGATCCTGGGCATCAAATACTCGTCGCCGAGTCCAGGTGTTCGTCCATCGCGAGCGGTTGTTGGTTGTGATGTCAGAGCTCCAACACTGGTCCAGGCCAAGCTGCGGCCTTGCCGCCCAGACAAAATGTCACCAGTCCATGTCTCGCGGGATTGCGATTGTGTTGCTATGAGCTCATGTGGGGTTACTGCTGGCACTCATTCGCGGACAATCCTCAACTTCCCGCCCAGCAGCTAAGGCATCACATCGTCGCTAGAAGCTCATCGAGCATCGGGAATAAGAAGGTACGTCAATGACGGCGAGGGAGGGATTCATGACGTGAATTTGCGGGGACTCGTGAGCCTAGCCCCAGCCGCTCCCGCGGTAGCGGGAGCTTGTCTTGGGCTCCGGCACACGGATCCGATGATCTTCGCCAGAGAAAACAGGGAAACGGTCGCTCCACCAGTGAGGCAACGGGCCATTGGCAGTCGTCATTTTGGGTGTGCTCAGCGCAAACACCCGCCACACGTTTGCGTTACCCCAGAATTTCAGGTTTGTTGGCGGTTGGTATTACGGTGGCTTTGTCGTGTGGCGTTGTCTGACGATTGATCACTGCCGGATCTTGCCCTATCTAGAGGCCA